GTCTATGGACTTGGCTTTAACATCTCTTGACAATAATAACAGAGTGAAAAATTCATTTCATGCTAATTGATAATTTGTTACCAAAATAACTCGGACTCAGAGCATGAAAATCATCGGACAAACATCATGGAAGACGGGATTGATGTGACCTGACTGACTAATGCAGAAGAAACCTGACTAGACGAAATGCAGATGCATTTACGTTCATCTTCTCTTCTGAAACAGGCCAACAAGGATCAAAGTTTCCTTAGATTTTAAAAAAAAAAAAAAAAAAAAAAAAAAAAAAAAAAAAAAAAAAAAAAAAAAAAAAAAAAAAAAAAAAAAAAAAAAAAAAAAAAAAAAAAAAAAAAAAAAAAAAAAAAAAAAAAAAAAAAAAAAAAAAAAAAAAAAAAAAAAAAAAAAAAAAAAAAAAAAAAAAAAAAAAAAAAAAAAAAAAAAAAAAAAAAAAAAAAAAAAAAAAAAAAAAAAAAAAAAAAAAAAAAAAAAAAAAAAAAAAAAAAAAAAAAAAAAAAAAAAAAAAAAAAAAAAAAAAAAAAAAAAAAAAAAAAAAAAAAAAAAAAAAAAAAAAAAAAAAAAAAAAAAAAAAAAAAAAAAAAAAAAAAAAAAAAAAAAAAAAAAAAAAAAAAAAAAAAAAAAAAAAAAAATTTATTTTTGCTTTTAAATGAGGGCATGCATCCATATGTGAATCATTTGCAGCAGCCTGCAGCCATTATATAATTAACAAAGCAGTCACAAAATTATGACGATCGTGGTAATTAAGACAAGTTGAGGACAATCACATATACCATCCTGGGATGCTACCTTGTATGAATAACATAGAGTAATAGATATCGAAATATAATTAAGTTAACATTTCCTATAATGTTTTGGTTATATCGGAAGAAATCGAACCCGAATATATCACAATCTTATATCAACATATCTCATCCTCCCCTATTAGGGTTAACATTTTCTCTAATTCGAATATGAATCGAGAAAGATACATATATATTATAAGTCTGAGAAGAAAATATTAATTTGTATATACAAACGTGTATGTATGTGTATATGTATATGTATGTATACCGGGTTTAGAGCTGTCATTTATTTGATATAAATGAATTACCATTTTCAGAGTTGTCTTTTACTGCAACAAACTTGTAGGAAAAAGCAATCTAGCCTATCTAGGTGACTTGTGAGAGCAGCAACCAGATCCCGCTGCACAACTTCGGGCTTAAAATCTAACAAACACTGATATAACTAATAATATACAAGAACAGCAACAGAGTTGTTTCGATAAAATCCAACTTTTGCAGTTTGCTGCTTCGGTTAAATTACCAAAATATATGTGATTGTAATATATTTATTCTAGTATTGTACCGACTACCTCACATACAGACAAACATATGCCTGAAAATAGAAAAAAATAAAAGTTTTGGTGCAATGTCATCATTAATTTTTTATTTTTTTTATTTTATAGCAAAGTTAAGGAAAGGGGGGGTTGGAACTCACTCACACACACGGGTACCATAAAGACTTGAACTCTCGGAGCACACCAAAGGCCTCGAAGAATCCAACGGACACCCATTAGTTCTTTTATCTGAAATTCAGAAAATTGAAAATATACATATGCAAAATAATGGATGACTTTTATAATTTACAGCCCATTTGGAAAAATAAAGTTACATGTAGACAAAGGGTTTACAATTCACATGGGTCGGCATGTGGTGTGAATGTACACACATCTCCTGTCTTCCATGTGGTTTAACCCATAGATTTTATCTGTCAACAGCTAAGCAACCCAACCCAATTGATTCTTCTCTTTCTCTCTTTTTCTCTTCACCTTCTCTCTCTCTTTTACCTTTTCTTGAATTAATAACAAAAAAATTATGCATCACATATTAATTTTCAAGGAGCCCACCAGGAGAATTTAAGACTCATGTCACTCAACCTCATGGAATTAATGATATTTTTCTTTTCTTTTTCAACATATTAATTTTCCATGTGGGAGCTAGGTAATTACTTGAATGTGACCCATCAACAAGGCTAGCAAGCTAGAATAATTCCCACTTTTATCACACTTGATGATCTTTTTCCTGCAAGTTGTACCCATTTCATTTCATCTTATAAAAGAGAAAGCACTCAAATTTAATGGTGAAAGAAACAAAGCAATAGGCGTTACAATGATTAATTGTATTAAGAGACCGCGCCGTTGTTCTTTACCAACAATGCTTATAATTAATTTACTATAAATAAGCCTTTCCATTAGAACCTTCCTTGTACAACCAAATTCATAATATTCCTTGAGAATCCTTTATTAGCGTATAATAATTAGACCTTTTGAGTTTAGCGCCCTTTGTGAATTATTACTTGAAAGATGATAGTTTGAGTAAATTGAAAGCCATTGCAACCATGTGCCAAAAACTACCGTCCTTAATGATGTTTTTTATGCATGCTCACTTACACCTTTTAGAGATAAAAATATAACCAAAGAAAACCAGATGTTGCAAAAGCATTTATATTATTGGAACATGAGAACATGTGCATAGAATAACTATGCAAATTGCAATGGAAGATCCTAATAAAGGATCCCAATCTCTTTTTTTATAATTATTTTTTTTATAATTAATGCATCAACCGTTTACACATGAGATTTGAACTGAAGACTTCTTCCTCCAACGACATAATACTAAATCTCACTAGACCAAATGGTCTTTTTCTTTCTTTCTATTTTTTTGCCAAAATCAAGAAGCGGAATGAGGATTTTCTCACACACTAGTAAGGTGCTATGGAGTTTCGAACCTAAGAGCATTCGTCAGCAAATCAAGACTATTTTCTATTGGACTAAACTGCGTTGATGGAACAGATGGTTATAGAGGAATCGATTTATTACCATGATAACATTAAGACATTGATTGAGGATGGGCCCCATGTGGGCAAAGCAAAGCACTCAAAAAGCCCATATTGAGCAAGAAAGAGTGGAGGCCCCATGTGCCCACAAGCAACAACTTAACAGTGGGCAAGAAAGGGAGAGTACTTGGGAAAAAACCACGTTATCACGTCCACTTCTTTGCTTTTTTCCCTTTGTTACTCATGCCCACTTCTTTGATGTTATGTTAAGACCCAAATGGATAACAGGATAAGCCTTTGCCAATAACGCTTTTTTAGAGTAATGTTGGTTTATAAGCAAATTTTGTACATTATCTATCTTCCAAACAGAGCCCCATGAAACAACAAACCCATAATAATCCCACAACATAATATACACAGCTAATCTGAAGCAGAACAATTTCTGTGATGAACGCAAATTGTTGAATTAAGAACATTTCCAAATAGTATCAAGCTTACAATTTCCATGAGTTTTATTTTCACTTCCAATGTCATAATGCAATAAAATAGCACCGAACTTTTAGCCACAGCTTTTAGGGAAATATCTTTTTCCCATCCCCATCTTACTCTTAATACCCCAACAGCAACAACATAAAAGAGGTCTTAAATTCAACACATATATTGAGGAGTGGAATGAGAATTCAGAATAATAAATCATGGGAATCAAACAGATCTTCTCCTATACGGACGTCCGAAGGTTATTATCGTGCGTACACCATGTATTTTCTACTACCCACTACCCATCCCTGTTTTCCTCTCTTTACAATGACATCCACGTCCACACCATCAAAGAATAAGAATTTCAGGCCACCAATAAAAATACAAGGATCTGCATGATATTAAACCATTGACAATATTCATTAGAAATGTGTTGGCCGTATGACCTGGTTATTTTCCATATCCGTACAAAGCTATGAACCAGATAGAGAATTGTATGTATTTCTCATGAAAATGCATCATCCATAAATTGAAATCCACCCCTTTTGAAGTAAAAGATGAAACAAATATGGGAGGCATACTCGAATTGACTGTGGACCCCTCTCCTGCCATCCTCTTCTGCTCTACCTTTAAGAACCATGAAAATCAACGAATACAATAGTCACTTAAGAAACGACCAACTTAATGAAGCAGGAAAAAATGGAGGGGTGAGAATTGAATTCTCCTCTACCACAAATTTGCCAATATAAGGGGGCCTTTTCCATCAATTTGCCAACATAAGAGGCCTGTACACAAGCTTTGTTTCAGCTTTGACTAGTACATTTCACCACAGAGACAGAGTTTCAGTTGCCAAAGGCTATAGCTTTAATGCATGTCCACTGGGTAATTTACAGTATTTAAATTGCATACCTTTAAGAAAAAGACCTTCAACTTCTGCAAAACCAAATGATAAACAGTCCCAGATGTACATCTGGAAAAGAATGACAATTAAGGGAATGTCAACATATGGAGATGGTTTTGCAAGTGCAATATTTCCATTTACCCTTCACCTAATTTTCTCATTCTTAACAACAATGTCTGTCAATAAATAATGGGGAAGAAACAAGAACTAATTTTACAAGCTGATATCTCACAACATAATTTCAATTGATTGGCACCAACTGCACCATGTATACCTGTTATTATAGCAACAGCTGATTGATAAGGTTGAAGAGTTGCTGCACCAACACTGTCAACACAAGTAGTTGTGAAGATTAGCACACATCAGTGTTCAGTTCAGACCTTTTTTAATCTAAGAACAGAACATTCACACAAATTAAAGTAAATTCCAGACCTTGATCATAACCAGAGCACAACATATTCAGAGCAATCCATCTTGCATCTATATATCACAACAATGATCTAATAAAGGTAAGTATTATTCATGATGAAGAAAAATAACGAAGATTTATGTCAGTGGAAGTCTATGGACTTGGCTTTAACATCTCTTGACAATAATAACAGAGTGAAAATTCATTCATGCTAATTGATAATTTGTTACCAAAATAACTCGGACTCAGAGCATGAAAATCATCGGACAAACATCATGGAAGACGGGATTGATGTGACCTGACTGACTAATGCAGAAGAAACCTGACTAGACGAAATGCAAGATGCATTTACGTTCATCTTCTCTTCTGAAACAGGCAACAAGATCAAGTTTCCCTTAGATCACAAGACTTGATTCTTTTATGAAACATGCCACTTTCATGATCCAGTCTAGTTGTATGCGTATCAGTAGTGTCCTCAGATGCCCAAACTTTTATGGCTTCTGATCTCCCTTCCAATGCTTCAACTAGCATATTTAGTTCATTGATAGTGTGATGTTGAAGGACATATCTATGATTGATGTCACATGAACAAAAAAGCTTTGCATGTTTGAGACATGAAAATCGGTCAGGAGAGCACTTGCAGCGAGCTTCCAACAAGTGTAAGTCATAGAAGCAAGAAAAGCATTCCCTCCCATTGTTCAAATCAAAGTCTCTTTCCATTTTTTGCGGCTTCAAACAAATTGGAAGACGATCTAGTCTTTCCTCCTCCATTCGCACTCGTGTCTTAACTGCTCTCATGAGCATACCATCTTTGCCACAAACACTTTGCCAGCTCATATTTCTTGTAGTCTTCTTTCCAAGAACTGATAGTTCCCAAAGGGCCTGTACAGCTTCCTGAGCTGATCCCAGTAACAATTTGTCATGTGAAGTTGATGTCTTACGACACTGCTTACTGTAGACCTCAACTGCATTTTGCCCATGTTCTAACCAATCAACAGGGGCCACATTGACTGCCTCAGCACAGTTAAAGCCACAATTAAATCCAGAATGGTATGCCCTCGGAAAAGTACGAACAACTCCCCAGAATGTTGGACAGCTCTATGCACAGGAACACCTTCAGACTTTAAAACTGAAGGAGATAGCTGAGGGACCAGTTCATTCAGTAAATGAGGTTGTTCCTCAAACACAATTGGGCAAATGCTTTCTTATTGCACATTCCAAAGCAGGAGCATGGCTTCCAGACACTCCATAACATACTTTTGGATCACCCCAGTTAGGGAATAGACAATAGAGGTGGTGGTCCTCAACATGCCAACAAAATGAAGAAAAAGCACATCTCCACATAGACCATGGGACTAGAATTACTGAGATATCACTTGATTTTAAAACTTAGTACAGAACCGGGCAGACGTGGGAAGTGATTTAGATTCCAACCTGACATTGCATACTGATCCGAATCATTTCCGGTTACCACAGACAACGCCTTAGGAAACCCACTTCCAAATACTCCTGTTTCCAAGTCAGCTCCATAATAAACCTCAACCTCATCTGTTGTTTGCTCAACTATTCGCCAGTAACCTTCAATATCCTCCACTGAGGGTTTCCATGTTTTCTTTTTAGTTTCACCAGAATTTGAACCCCTCCTTAGCATCCTTTATTCCAAAGTAACTTTCCTTGAAAGTGTAGGCATATCTCTGAAACTCATCAAATATAAAGTCTGATCCTGAACAAATCCGAACATCTCATCTATCTCAGAAGCAATGTTTGAACATCTTTTGGTTCTCATTCTTGAGTGCCTCCTTCGTTTTCGCTTCCGACCTCTACTTTTCTTTCTCATGGACTCTCTGTTTTGAAGTAAGTCAACTTGCTGAATATGTGTAGAAAATTTTGCACGTTTCCACATCTGTTTCTCCTTAAGAGGGCAGGGAGGAGTCCAGGAAGGTGGAGGGACAATCTTACATATACCATAGGATTTGGCTGCTGGGCGTATCTTTGCTATGTAACCAAGTGTATATTCAAATTCCTCAATAGTTGGATAAAATACAGGTGCTTCATCAATGGCAAGCCTGCATGCTTCGTCTGGATCCCATCTGGCTGATATCTTTCGACTTCAAGGACTGCCAGAGCACTCTGGTGTTTTATCACTTCTTCGGCTGTTCTTATAAAAAATGGTCCTCTTTTTTCTGAGATTCTGCTGCCAATTTGAACTTTTCCATTGACTAAAAAAATCTTGAAAACCCGACTACCCAACAATATCTCAAAACACGCCTAAGATTCCAGGTAGGTTGATGACTTGATGGGCAGGCAATAGGTGTACTTGTAAACAAAGGGAGCTTCGGGTTTAGAAGATAGAGAGGCATTTTATAATAAAAGAAGAAACTAGGGTTCAAGATAATAAAAATAGAGGGTAAGTACGAGAAATAACCATACAGAATAAGAAGAATAGAAGAAGAAGACAGAGGATTAGAAACAGAAATACGTAAGAGAATGAGAGATTAGGGTTTAGAAGAACATTGAAGCAAGAGATAATGTTCATTTATCAAACAATTCTGCCTCTACTGAATTACATAGCATGTATTTAATATTTATAATGACCTAACCTTGCTAAAAAGTACTACAAATAGGAAAGTAATCCTACTCCTACTAGAAACAGGCAAGTAATAAGAACAGAAAAATAACAAATCAAATAGGAAACTAAATTAAAATATCCCTAATTTATTATTCTGCATCATTCTCCCCCAGTGACAAGAACTCGACTCCGGTGAGTAAAGTAGGGGCTTGAACATCATTGACTAACCAACATCAAAGGGATTCTTGACATCAATGTTATGGAGGCTGTATGGAGGCTGTCTAGGAATCCATTCACTTTCTTTCTTGCAATTGTCAATGTGGCTGTGCAAAGTGCAAAAGGGGAGATGAAAAAAAAAAATTTTAATTTTGCAATGTTGTGGAAACCTACCCCACAAATTTTTTTTTTTTTTTTTTTTTTTTTTTTTTTTTTTTTTTTTTTTTTCTTTTAATAGAAGACAACAAGCTACAATCTGGCTTTAGCATGACAAAAGAAACTTTCCATCGAAGGAGGAAAGTGAAGGGCAAGTGATGGATGATCTTGGAAGTTTTACCTGATTACTGCAAAATGTCCACAACCAGATCACACTGGCCTATTAGCTATTATAGTTTCATTCATATTCTATAGCCGACTTCCACCTTGGAAGCAACCTATACAGTATACAGCAGCCCTCCTAGAAACCTTATGCAAAATGTTTTCACAATTCACATTGTCCTCTAAGTCAGACAAACCATAAATCCCAAAACCAAGACTATCTACATCAACTCGACCTGAATAGAAACTGAACACCAATACTCGATTTGACCAACATCTATAAATCTACTAAGGTCTACTTACACAGCAAGTTCTAATAGACGCTAGATGTTCTTTCTTGCACAACTATTCCCCATAGCTTCATGAAATAAGTATAAATATTAATCTTCAATAATTAATTTCTGCTATTAACAAATATTTGTACATGTACATCCATTACATAAATTTTCTATTTTGGTTTTCTTTTAAATGAAGTCAACAATGCAAAATTATGGCCCTATGAACCCAATGACTGCCTGTATTGAGATTTTGAATTGTTAAAATATGATAGGGTCATTGATCTCAAAACAAGAAGTCAGACCTATTAAGTGAGAGAGCTAAGGAGCAGGATAAACGTATAGGTTAGGTGGATCAACGTGAATATCAAACTAGATGAGCCTACGCTGGTGTGAAAAATATTTAGCGCTAATCTGAGTCTCTAAATGAAGGCCAAACAAGTTGACAAAATATTTGAAGGCATATAACTGAAACAGAAGTACTGTAAGCAACAGTTATAATTCATAGTTTTCTTAGAGTACTAATCCTCCAACTTCCAAGATACATCCTGCAAACACAAACGCTTGTCAAAAGGACACTTTGCAGTAATCAGGTAAAACTTAAGAGCTACAAATTAAAGAAACATGAAACTAACTGGCCATTAACTGTAACTTATCTCAGTATCAGCATAGTTTTGAGTCTAGCACACGGTGCTTCTTTCCCCAACCGAGCACATTTTCCATTCTAAACTTTAGCTGTGGTCAACTGAAAATTATTTTTACATTATATACTAATATCAACATGGACCATCTGAAAAAAGAATACATACACACACACACACACAACACACACACATATATATATACAACCCTTCTCACATCCATTCATCCAGATTTTTGTTAAATTCCGGACCAATCATTTCAGCCTTTAGACACCTCCAATGGCTTTCTGATACATGTTTTAAGAAAAATTAGCACATCAACGGACTGTCAGAGGAGAAAAACTTGTCTGTCACTTGAGGTTTACTGAGCTGGCATCCCAACCCAATTATAAACTTGTCTGTCACTTGAGGTTTACTGAGCTGGCATCCCAACCCAATTAAAAGACAACATCTGCACTTTTTGTCCACGTCATACTAAAACAAATAAACTCTCTCCCAATTTTCTTCCCTCTGCTTCCATCGTTGTCTCTCTCACTGGCCCAGCATCATGCATGCAAAAAAAAAAACAAACCCCCAATGGTTGAATCTGGGATCTGGGGTGTGTGAATTTAGTTTGAAATACTTGATGAGATTTCAGGCCCAACAAGCCCCAACCAGTGTACTAACTCACCAAAGTTAAAATAAAATTGTGAACCAAACTTGTTCGGCTGAGCTGAGCAATAATGAATTCAACGCTAAGCAAAATGCAAACTTGGGTGTTCGAAATTCAAACAAGAAAAAAAAACACCACACACAAATTATTGACTTGTGTTTTCCACCAACAGTCACCAAATAGATTCAAAGCAAAACCACATGCCCTAACTCAATCTGGGTTAAAAACTTCAAGGTACCAGAACACGTGCAAAGAGTTAAAAATGATCTCTCAGTCTTAAGTTTATGTTGCTGTCACAACACTCACTCTAAGAGAATGGTTTTTCAGAGATGATTACTTAAACAACAATAGAAAGTAAGACAATCAGCTCTGAAGAACTTTTGTCAAACTTTCATTCATAACATTTCCCATTATCCACATCTACTGTATAGAAACTCTTATTAAAAAGAAATCTATTGCACAAGAAACTAAAGTCTGTTGCTTCTGCATGCTAAGCATGATCAGAACAAGAATATGAAAAGATAACTCTAATCAGAAATGATTTTATATGTATACACAAAGCTTATGAAGGTGATATATCCTTCGATATCAACCTGTTAAGATCCAAATCTAAGATACAGAATTCAAAGGAAATTATGAATAAAGCATAAAAGAAATTCCAATCATATGAAAAATTCAGGCAAGGGAACTTATTGCCTGAGTCATTCAAAGTGTGTTACAGTTAAAAATGCATTAACTCCGCATGGAAATCATTATAAGAAAATGATAGATGTCATAGAAGATCTGTGGACAATAAATCTCTATGCTTTGATACGTTCTTAACATCTTCCCAATTAAAAGTTTCCTAGTAACGGGGCACAGATCTTTATACCATTGTTACTATCTTGCATCAACAAGACCAGTTTGCATGGATATCAAAGTGATACAGAACCCAACTTTGCGTGTTGTAGAAACACTAACCAGACACATGTAGCAGGGATAGATAGCATCCAATCATCTTTGACAGTCCTCTTTTTGCATCATCTCATACAATTTCCTTTAAATGCAAAGAAGGATTTGGTAAAGTTCATGCACTGCATGGAAGGCAATTGATCGCCTAATGTTATAGATCCAGAACATTAAAGACCATATGTTCAAATTAGAAATTAGAATTTGTGAGCTCTGTCACTACTAAGTTTAGAGTGGCCGCAGCTATCATGGCCCCAGCAATATAATTTGTCCGTGACTGTTAAATCTCCTCAATATAGTGATGAATGCCATAGTTGTCTGCTCATGCAAGAATTCCCAACTAACATTCTGATATATATAAAAATAAGTTGCAATTTATACGAATGCAAAAAATCCCTCACTGAAAAAGAATGCAAAAAACATTAGCACTTAGGCTCTAAGAAGAGGTTATGAAAGGTCCCTAGTTATGGCGTGAACTTTCTGCCCTTGTACGCAGATGTGCACATGTGTGAGAGAGAGAGAGAGAGAGAGAGAGAGAGAGAGAGAGAGAGAGAGAGGGAGAGAGAGAGAGAGCATGCAGGGACATAAAAAAGACTATGTGTATTGTCAAATGAGAATACCAGCCCCTAGTAAAGCTGGCAATCCATCAGTTCCAGGGAGAATTTGTCAAGTAGATTTCATGCCAACCCCAATACTACCAATTTGAAAAAAGAGACACCACAACCCCGCTTGGAAATCCATCTTGTTTAGGCAGGACATAGCCAGGTAGAAAATTATTCCAGACCCAAAACTGCCAAATCCAATTGCAGCCGATACAGTAAGGACCAACATGAAACCGACACAGGCCTCTTAATTTCAAGAATGTAGTAATCCAATATTGTCAAGATTACCTAAAGCCACCAATAAAGTAACACATGAAATCCAATCAGTTAATAACAGTATAATCCCTCTTGAAAAAATTAGTTTCTCTTTCTTCTATTAAAAATGAATTTACAGTATTATAGCCATCATAAATTTATTGTAACCTGATATCTCTAATTCCCAAGCATAATAGTCTTCGACCCTAGCCTACCCATATCATCCAGGTATCAAAATTATCTTCCTACAGTCAGACCACAGTTCTTTAATTGAAGGTGGCATGATACCTTATTACTGTTTGTTACATATTAGGTATTGCACAACCTCTCACTTGATAATAGGGTAAAATTATTGTGAGAGATAATATACAAAACAAGGGATTTGATTTTTCTAATAATGGTTACAAAGGCACTTGCAATGGCAGATTACAGAAAGCAACTTCAACCAAATATACCTGTAGCCTGACATCACAAAGGAAAGTTACACAGAGAAGAATCTTCACACAGAACATCTGATAACTCCAATATTTTTAGTGACATGGGCTTGTCACCAAAACAAGCCATACAGAAATACATCCTTAGATGATGAAAGCTATATGCTGACTCAGGCCCTTCAGAAATTACAAAACAAGACCTGAAACTTCTATGGCTGCAAGAAATAATAATCTATCATCAATTCAACACCATTAGAGGTCCCTTAGTTATTTCGTGAACGAACGACACGTTCAAATTCACATTCAACAAGGGATCACAGGTTCTCTTTTTCTTCCTTCGTAGTTTAAAGCATTTTGAGCTAAAAAGAACATTGCAGTTTGCAGTCTATCAATTGATAATTTAACTAAGTCTCTTATGGCCCCAACAACCATCCCTTCATTGCTGCAAGGAATCTCTTTATCAACCAATCCAATCATTCACTGACCACTGCCCAGGCAAAAGAGCCACAAAGTCAGAGGGAGGAGCGCACCTGAAATGAGCAGTGGTCATTTGACAGGACAACCAAAGATCTTCATGGGAAGAATAATGGGATAACCACAGCTACAGCCTGCTTTGAAATTTGCACAAATTTAGTTCTTAGCTCAGCAGAAACTTTTTACTTGAGTATCACCGTGTTTTAACAAAATGATCAATACAGAAAGATCAAGTAAGATTGGAAGTAACAAAATGTTATTGAGAAGAACTACTTTAACCTCTAGTAGTAATTTGCCGAAGGAGCTTAATGAGAACATAACTGACTAGCAAAACCTTTATATACTGTCTGATTCTAGTATTGCAATATAGTAGTTTATAGATGCAAATTACTTGTGGCTATTATTGAATCAGTAATAAGTCATATCTGTCTTAAAGATAAACTCATAAAACTTGAGGATGAAATATTGAATGCCGTTTAGACAATGTTACAACAAGATCATTTGAGAACATAAAGTATTTTAGAAAGAAAAAAATGGAAACATATAGACCGACTAACAGACAGAGACGGAGAGGTCTAAAGCCAGAGAGGAATCAGCATCTAAAGTGGATTGAGCCCAGAGGTTGCAGAAACTCGCACCACATATCTGAAGCATTCTAGTACATTTAATTCCTACAAAAAGAAACCATATATAGCTCTTGGCTTTCAAGATCTGCATTGTATTCTCTATGATGGTAAAGACAACTGGCTGGTACATACCTTAAATCAAAATGCTTGTCAAAGTTAAAAAAAATTTAAATTAAATGGCGGAAAAAATTGAGATGCTGAAGCAAAGAATTGCTGACTAAATCAACTAGAAGAAAACAAATATAAGAATCCAGTCCTGCAAGATGATAAAATAGTATGGACAAGGAGTGGGCAAACCAAATAAACATATAGCATAGACTCCAGCTAGAAAATATAATAGACCTATCCAACTTATAATGTCAAACACCTTGAAGGTTTCCCATCAGAGATTCAGAATAACCAACATGGTTCTGCACTAGCATAACAAACTAGAACTTAAGGTGACATGAAAAATACAACAGATTTAAGCCAGGAAATCATAATCTTTGACCTTAAATCAGACAAAGGACCAGAGTTTCTCTAGGTATACAGTTACATGAACATGAGTGAGGAAACAAAGCTCATGATAGCAGTTGTTTCAAGCACTGAACATGACATGTGTACATTTTTGTTGGGTTTACAGGATGGACTGCAGAACCTGCTCCTGCGGCCTCCTAATTACCAACCCACTCTTGTTACTTATTGAAAAAAATATTATATTACTTGGGATACGGACATGTAACTCACTAGTACAAATTGCTCTTTCAAAAGAAAAACATCAGCAATGACATTGAATCAAATATTATAAAGCTGCCAGTAAAATATGGATTATTGAAAGTAAAAGACAACAAAATGAATGCCAATGTTCAATTTGAGGAAACCAAACAATGATACAAGAAATAAAAAGCTGATTAAATTACGCAAAGCACCAGCATACATTACGCTATTTAGACCTTGTTCATACAATTTTCCACAAAAAGTTTCAACAATAGGAAAATGTCAATTTACCAGACGTAAAATAAAGAAAACTAGTCATTCATACTGCCAAAATCATAAGCTTTACAGAGTACATCCAGATAGGTCACGGTTTCCAGAAAGGTCCCACAACCAATATGTGATACTTGAACCGACTGCAGCTTACCAATTTAAAACAGAAGCAATGTTGCCTGCAAGTCCCACTATTGCAATAAATACTGATCAGAACAGCCACTTAACTAAATCCAGCCCCCATTTCCTTCCGTTTCAATTCCAATGCCATGCGCTCATTCTCAAGCTTCATCCTCTCATTTTCCATCCTCAGCTTTTCCAATTCACGGTCCCTTTTCTTACTAAATCTTTGCCACTTGAAATGCTGTTTCTCCAATTCTAACATCTCAACTTGAATTTGCAGCTTCTGTTCTTCTAACTGAAGAGATCGAGATTCAATCCATTGCTTCTGTAGCCAGGCAGCTTTTGTGCCATCAGGTAAGACTTGATTCATATCAGCTTGGGGAATAGGTGGATGACAATAAGAACTCTTGTTACAGTCCTGGGGATTCAATGAACTACCATAGTTAAATTCTTCACGGCCCTGGCCTTGTCTCAACCTCTTTACAGAGTCTTCTAAAACATATATTCCCCTGTTATCTCCATGTGAAGCATTATTTTCCTCAAAGTCTTCATGCTCATCAGTTTCCATATCCTGATCATCTTCGTCAAGATCATCATGGTGGTGCCTTCTCGGATCATCATTGTCATGCTCATCTCTTCTAAGAGCCCGCTGTAAGGATTTCTGCAATGCTGGATCATGAGGCAGATGCAAACGATTCCCATTATGGTAAGAACACATCTCCTCATAAAATAGGTGCTTTGAGCTTAATATTTTCCTAACATCATCTTTTTCTTTCTCTGTTAGGTAATCTATCACATCCAAAAGTGCCTGGTTCTCAACAACCTGGCAAGACGTGCCCCTCCCAAGCATGTCGTTAAGTTTCTTATACCTTTTGTTCAGGTCATTGAATTTATCCTCACACTGCTGCGGAGAAACATGAAAACCTCTTTCTGCCATGACCTTGGAAACAGATTTCCACTTTCCCTTTTTCTGTAGAGTAGAATATTTCCTCCTTCCCCCACTACCACAATCAGAACTTGCATCCTCACCTATATAAGATACAGCAGTGATTAGAAGCTTCACCATCTGATCTGTCCACTTTACACGCTGCCATGGTGATCCCTTCTTCCCTCTATTTCCTTCAGCATGGCCATCAGTACCATCCTCCATATAACTCGGCTCATCCTCATCACTTGCTGAGTTCTTGGACCTCTCTCCCTTATTGTAATCCATCATGGAGATGGTTTGGTCACAAGTATGCATGGTTCCCATTTTGAGAGGAAAACCCTCGTGAATCGATGGATGGGCCAAGGACCCTTGACGAGGATGAGGATGGTGTTGGTGTATGGTGTGTGGGTGTTGGGTTTGATGTTGAACCCTCATCGATCCTTCTAAATCAAGGCCACCATAGGAAGCCCCACCAGGAACCATACCTCCCTGTGATAAATGCCCTTCCATTCCTTACTATAAACAACAATCAGATCAAGAACTCTTCTTTAGCCTAAACCCATATTTTACATGCATATCCATTGTCTGTAGAAGCCATTTGCAAATACCTCATGCACTCATAGATCAAAATCAATCCTGCCCATTATCTAATTTCCCCTCCTAGAACATTTTTCACCTTTTCTTAGACCAAGTATATGCATGTCCAATTCCCCCAAACACCAAAACCAAACAGAAACCCATTTGCTAAATTTCAATACCAAGCACAATTTTTTACAAGCTCAATCGAAACATTCACAACCAACTAAGAAACCTACCCAGTTCAGCAGAAATTTTAAGACAATAAGTTCCCAGAAAATAAAATCATTCCTCAAAGATCAACAGCATAGAAGCAAAGCAACTTATCTGCAGGAAATGCCCACAAATCTGAGAACCTTCCAGTAATCAAGCCTAGATTCCAGGGCGAAAGATCACGAAAATACACCTCCTGTCTGTGGATTATCTGACCCCAAAAAAAAAATCTGGCTGCGGCTCATACGCTACATAAAATAAAAAGGGCTTGGTCTTGTGTAACGCTACGGCCTATATAATACAGACACCAAAAAATTTCCTTTTCACCTTTTCCCATTTATGTCAAAAGAGACTGAAAAGTTGTTTATTTATTTGGTAAGTTTTAAAAAATAATAATAATAATTAGTAAGTTTTAAATTTTATTTTAACCTCACTTATTTTAATAGTTTTCTAATCTGTTTGGTTCTCGCTGTATTGGAAAAGAGCCAGGGATCTAGCAGGTTCAATGTATGGGAAGATTCGGTGGGTTCATATGAATCAAATTTGATAACCCCAAAGTCCTTTTCACCGTTAAATTTAAAAAATTTGCTTGGGAAATAGATTTGACATGAAATATACCCAACCGATGACCGACCGAGGGTAGTCAGTGTATGCAAAAGTGGAACCGCTGCCGCCGCCGTTGTCAGTAATACCGCATTGTGGCGGTCAGGCCAGTTTGAAAGTGGGTCTACCGAAACAAACAGATTGGGCTTTTTTTTTGGGGCCAATTTTTTTAACCCAGTTCAAATTCATGGCTGCAATTTGGGATTTCACGACTTTAGGCCTAGTTTTGTTAGGCAGTGTTTTGGACATTGTTTCTGTCTATTTTGGACAGTTTGTGCTTCTAATTTTACACATCCTCGACAATTTGTATATAATGCTAAACTGAGACAGTTTTGTAAACATGGTGAAATCCTTGACAATTTGTAAACATGCTAAAATACCACATCCTGGACGATTTTTAAACATGCTAAAATCCACAATTGAAACATGCTACAACCCAAAAAAAGAAGTTTGAATTAGTTAGTTAAAATCCAAAAGAAAGTAGTGCTAAAATATGAAATCTAGTGTGAGAATATTTGTTTGTGGGAATTTGCTGTGTATTCTTTTCTTGTAGAATGTCATATTTATAATACAACGGAACTAAGAAAAAGAAGTTTTTAATGAGAATTCTATTATGGTTGAAAAAGAAATCGTGAAATATGACGATCGACAAATGAACACTCTTGAAATTCAAGCTAGATATAAATATGAAATTGATATATAAGAATAGGTCTTCCTGTCTAACTCTTAAGGGGGTGTATTCAGTTCGAACTTTTAAAGACTTTTAATGAGTTTTAAAAGTCTGGAGGTATTCAACTATGACTTTTAAATAGTCTTTAAAAGTTTAGTGGTACTCAATTGTGATTTTAAAAAATCTTTAAAAGTTTTGTGGTATCTTCAAAATTAATACCTTTCGAAAACTTCGTTAAATGAATGACTTTTCAATACTTTTAAGCCTAATTCTTAACACCAAAAGTCTTGCTACTTTACCCAAGACCTTATCAATGAATTTGATCATGTTGTAGCTTTGGCCATTGTGAGGGTGTGCCACCATGTTTGGGTCTCTAGACCCCCTCCCTCTTTGGTCAGTGTACTATCAAGAGATGGCCTACTACACTGCCAATTTGATTTTGTTTTTTTTCTTCCATTATCCATCATGTGAATTGTTATGATGATGAGTTGTTTCTTGCTTGTTTTTTTCTTTTCAATGCTTGAAACAATTGCTACGTACTAAGAGCTATGGTGGGACTGCATTGGTTTCTTCCATAAATTTTTTTTTGCCTCCATTTGCAATTTTTGCAGGCCTATCTGTAGGAACAGATGATTTTGTTACAAAATTCACATTCTCCAACAGCAATTTAGCTCTTAGCATCCTGGGGGTTACAGCTAACCCTACATTCTGATGATGTTATTTGGCTAGGCTCTATCACCATGCCACTTTACTGGTATCTCCCACCCAAACAGAGTATACCTCTAGAAGGTCTTAAGGATCTCAACTTCATTCCAGCAAACGAATAATCTGTCCCTTCTTCTCCAAGACCCAACTCTACAAACTAAACTAATTAAATCCATAATATTGATGGCACACCTTATATTTGAGTTGCCTCCAACAACAGCAATTCTCTATTTTCTCCATACTTGACTGTGTATCTCAAGTGAAAAAGTTCTTAGACATGGAAAATATTTTTTTCTTTTAAACACATTGTATCCAATTGTGGGGTTTTTTTTTTTTTTTTTTTTTTTTTTTTTTTTTTTGTTGGGTTTTTGGGGGGGTGCTGTACTCTTCATTCCATGTGGACTAGTTAATTCACCTTACAAAACATAAATATTAGAAGCAATTCCCTTTTTCATTATACTACTCTATGATAAATATTAAATAAATAAATAAATACTATTCATAAATCTATATATAAAGCAAAATGCAGAGAATGGTAAAACATTCAAAATATTAGAAAAATGCTCTTGGTTAATGTAAATTCACACTTCTTCATTTTAAAAAATTAAAATTAAAAAAAAATCAGATAATGGATCCTATTTTTATGGAACACAACTACCCATTATCTTTTTTAATTCTAAAATAAATTTAATTTTTTTATAAAAAAAAACCTATCGCAAGCACGTGCAGAGAGACTAGTAAATATATATATATATATTAAAGAGTAGATAAAAGTATGTAAAACTCTATGATAAAAGTATATGAAAGTATATCACTTAACTTTATAAAGTATGTAAAAGTCATTAAGAATCTGTCAACTTTATAAAAGTCACTTACTTACAAAAAATCTTTAAAAGTTAGAATTGGACTCCACTTAAAAGTCATGCACTCATTTATATGTTCAATTAATATATACAATTATGTGTGAATAACTTGCCCTTATCATATATTAGTGGGAATAATTATGTTTAATACCCGGAATATCCCTGAACAATACATATAATGATTGTCTTTAGGGCTTATTTTCATAAGATTTTTTTATTTGTCAGGGATAAAATAAGAACTTCTCATTCCTTTGACTTAACTATTGTTTTGCAACTCGAAGTTGAATCTCACTTAACCCCTTAATTCACTCTCATCCGTCAAGATTGTCAAACAATTTGTTAAGTATGATGACATGACACAAGTGTAATCCTTTTTTTATTTTAGAAATTTAGTTATATACCCAATCTTAGACATAGTCTTATAAAGAAACTCTATACTATTTAAAAACTATAAACAAGCCCAAAACAAACCCAAAAATTAACAGCTGTTAATTTTTTCAATTTAATATATGTTTTTTGGTTTATTTGTGTGTGTTAAATACCTATATTGCCCTTGTATCATGGATTTGAGAGAGAAAAATAAAATCTGCCCAGATTTGCCAAAAAAACATATCTGCACAGATCTGCCAAAAAACCAAATCTGCCAAAAAAACCAAATTTGCCAAAAAAACCAAATTTGATTTATTTTCTCCTTTCTTGTAGGTGCTTTCTCTAGTGTTGGAGCAAGAGGAGCTTCCATTGAAGCTTAGTCTCAGGTCCAACTATATTCTTCATCTTTAATCTACAATTTTCAATATTTCACATTTGATTTTTTGTTCTAAAATTGTGCTTCTATTGATTTTTTTTTCTTCGGATTGTTCAAGACCTCGAACGAACCTTGATCAAATGCTCTTAGCTCTACTCCTCATCTTCGAGCTCTACTCATCTTCGCCACGTCGTCGTCGTTGTTGTCGTCATCATTGTCGTCGTCGTTGTTTGGTTTAGACATGAGATTTTTGATCTTTTGCTTCAATTATGTATTTCTCTTCAGATTTTAGTTGATTTTCGAAATGTATTTTAAGATTTGATGATCGATTTATCTTTTATTACTATTTCAGTTATGGATCTTATTTTTGTTTAACAATATACTTCTATGATAGAGTATTAACAATGTACTTCTATTACAGAGTATTAACAACGTACTTCTATGACATAATAGTATTAACAATTTGGGCTCAACTTGTTTTGAGTTTGTCTGGTTTGTTATGTCTTTATCTTTTCTTTGTTGGACATGTATTAGAAATAGTAACATGACAAGCATTAATCAACATGATAGTAAACTAGCAGTGTTATTACCCTAGACTGGAACATTGCAAGGCTAGACATGCATTAGAAATAGGATGTCATATGAAACTAGCAGTGTTATTACCCTAGACTAGAACATTACAGAGTTAGACATGCATTAGAAATAGGATGTCATAGAAAACTAGCAGTGTTATTACCCTAGACTGGAACATTACAGGGAGTAAACATGCATTAGAAATATGATTTCATAGGAAACTAACAGTGTTATTGCCATAGACTGGAACATTACAGGGAGTAGACATGCATTAGAAATATGATTTCATAGGAAACTAGCAGTGTTATTACCCTCAAGGTCTTAAATATCGAGGGTTTCGGAAATATCAGTGGTTCAAAAACACGGAAATATCGATGGAAATATCGGGAAAATATCGATATCGATAAAAATTGGATAAAAACCACGGAAATTGTGATAAATACATGGAAATTTTTAATGAAACTTTGTAAAAAGTTTATTTAGTCAATAATCTATTATTTTAACACAAAAGATTGGAAGGAAATACTAAATATCCTAAGCCCAACTAGCCAACAAGCCCAACAAGTCATACTAATAATATCTCAAGCCCAACAAACCATACTAAAATACTAATATCCTAACCCTATCTATCTAATCTCATCCATCAACGTCAGTCACTTTATTCATTTATTTCTTTTCTTTTCTCACTTCACTCTCTCTTTCTTTCTCTCATTCTTTCCGTTTCCACCTCTTTGTGACTTTATTCCTTTCTTTCTTTTCTTTTTCTCACTTCACTCTCTCTTTCTTTCTCTCATTCTTTCCGTTTCCACCTCTTTTCCTCTCAGTTTTTTTGTTCTAGCACTTGGGGTAGTCATCATCACAAGAGAGATGTGAGAGCCCACCATGAAAAAACTATGGTTTTGGAGCTCTAAGCTCTCTTTCCTCCCATTTCTTTCTCTCCTCTCATTTCTTCTTCGTTTTCTTTTTCTCTCTTATTCTTTCTCTTTTCTTTTTTCTTCTTCTCTTTCTCTGATTTTCTTTTACTCTGATTTTTTTTTCTCTCGGTTCTATGTTTATATCTCTCCCTCTATATCTCTTTCTTTGCAGATCTGGGTTCTTGAATATCTTGGGTTAAGTTCTTGAATCTGATTTTTTTATTGTTCGGATATGGAATCTGATTTTTCATGCAAATTTAAAGCTCAGTTGAGGTTCAGATATGTTTTGCTGGATAGTTTTTTTATTTATTATCTTTTAAGGTTCATAACTTCATATATGGTTTTCCTTGTATGGACTCATCGATTGGTTCCATTGATGTTTCTAAAAATATCAGTTAGAAGTTGGAAGCTGGGATGCGACGTTCAAGCGAATTATTCATTTTTGAAAGTTCATATCGCAATATTATCGATAATATCGCGATATGTTGATCGTTTGCAGCTGCCATTTGAACGAAAATATCGGTACCGAAATTATCGCGAAATTATCGATAAATTGACGATAAATAAATGGAAACCTATTAAAATATCGCTGCCCCTAAAAAATGATAATTTTGCCGAAATATCGGCGAAATTATCGATATTTTATTCTCTGATTACCCTAGACTGGATCATTACATCAATTAATCAACATAACAGTAAACTAGCAATGTTATTACCCTAGACTAGAACATTACAACAATTAATCAACATGACAGTATACCAGCAATGTTATTACCCTATACTAGAACATTACATAGGTATACATGCATTAGAAATAGGATCTCATAAGAAACTATTAGTGTTATTACCCTAGAATGGAACATTATAGGGGTAGATATGCATTAGAAATAGGATGTCATAGCAAACTAGCATTGTTATTACTCTAGATTGGAACATTACAGCCATTAATCAACATGACAGTAAATGTGTGGAATATTACAGTCATTAATCAACATGACACATTAATGAAGCTATGGTTTTCACGACGTTTTGTTTGTAATGAATTATTTGGGTTTTTTTTTATAAAATTGGGCTAGGTTTGTTTTGGGTGCTATTTAAATGTTTTGTGTTTGACTTCTTTTTTAAGTTGATCAATGGCAATCACGTAATTTATAGAAACTTAAACACCAATTCTTAATGTAGTTAATGAGTTTTGGTGTGTGTTTCTAAAGTGCATGTCTATTTTTTTTTTAGTTTGTTTTTTTTTTTTATTTATATTTTTTATTTATAAATTTCAGCCCCTATTTTGGGTATATTAGTTTTCTCCTTTTTTTTTTTTTTTTTTTTGGTTTTTGGCTTATTATTTAGCCAAGTAAAATAAAAATTATTTTATATAAATATTTTAGAAATGTTATTTGACTACAAACAATGTACAAAACAAACAAGGCTTTTTATCACAAAGCATCCCCGAGGTTTACGAAACTATCAAATTGCATCCTTTATGTTTTTTTTTTGTCATTTATGGTCCTTAAGGTTATTACGGGTGCTCACAAATGGTCATTGCCATTAGGTTCCGTCCAAAAATCTGTTAATTGATGATGTGGCACACATGTAGGTCTCATATATCCAATGACATGATGCCACGTTGATTAAATAAAAATAATTTCAAATTATAAACCATTAAAAAATTAAAAACCAAAAAAAAATTTCACCACCTCCTCCATTGCACCAAACCCCCACATCCAGCCTCCTTCCAACCTGCTATCCCAAATCAACACCCACAACAGCCAACCCGAACCTTGATATGCCATGAACTCCCCCTCACCCACCGCCTGTCTAATCTCCACCACCAAAGACCAAAATTGTATGTTGTAATTATTTATATAATACAAAACTGGGGTGAAATTACATGAATTCTTGCTTATTTGTGAATTTTCAGGGATAAAATTTTGGTACTCGATTCTATTTTGTTGCTACCATCTTCGGAGTTGTTGGTAGAGTTAAGGCCTTCACCGGAGGAGATGGTGGTTAGTAAGGCAAAATCTGGAGTGGGTTGGGTGGGTTTAGTGGTTGTTTGGGTTTGGTTGTGGAGGAGAGGGAGTGGAGTTGAGGGTTGGTTGCTGTCAAATAAAGAGAGGAGGGAAGAGAGACAAAGAGAGAGAGAAAGGGAGGAGGGTGGGACAGTGGTGCTGAGGGTGGGTGAGGATAGGGTGCAGCTGTTGGAGGTCTGAGAGGGAGAGGGAGAGGGAGGGGAAGGGGGGAGGAGGAGACTAGTTGGGGGTTGGGGTTTAGTGTGATGGAGAAGATGATGGATTAAAAATTTATAAGTTTCAAATGTATTTTTTATTTATTTAATCCATGTGGCATCATATCATTGGATATGTGAGACCCACATTTTGTGCCACATCATCAATTTAACAAATTTTTGGATAGAACATGACGGCAAGGACTATTTGTGAGTACACGTATTAATTTAAGGACCACAAATGACACAAAAAAATATAAAGGATGCAATCTGATAATTTCGCAAACCTTAGGGATATTTTGTGATAAAAAGCCAACAAACAATAATGGAGCTTCTTTTTGTTTTTTTCTTTCGGCCCAAAGACAATTTCATTGCAAGCCGAGACAAGAAGGCAAACAAAGGCCGAAGGCCAAAGGCCCAAGCTAGCAACAATCGACTGGCACGCGGGCCCGTCAACTACAATCAAACAATACAGAGAAACAGAGAGAGGATCTAGCGAGTCCCTCTGCTCAGCTACCCGCATATTTTACCAAACCCATTCGGAGTAAGAGCAAACTGAAAAGATGGCGAGTGAGGAAGAGAGCGCCGTGAAGGAGCCGTTGGATCTGATAAGGCTCAGCCTCGACGAGCGCATCTACGTCAAGCTCCGCTCTGACCGTGAGCTCCGCGGTAAACTCCATGTACGTCTCCACAGCCTTCCATGTCTCTCACTCTGTTCTAAATTAGGGTTTAAGATTCGGGAGGAACAAAAAAAGAAAAAAAAAGAAAAGAAAGTTAGGGTTTATAGTATGCTACTTTAGTGTTTATGTCTTCAATGGAAATTAAATTAGGGTTGCTTTCTTATGGTATGCGTTAAGGTGATTTTTTTGTTGTTGAATTTTTGTATTTTCCTTTGAAGGTTTGAGCTAGTTTTTATGTACTGCATTTTGAGTATGGAAAGAAATTTACAATGGGTACTTTGACACTATGTTGATTAGGGCAATGACTCAGTTGGTGGTTACCATATAGTTTAATTGTTGAGTATTCTCTTTATATAAAAAAATAATTTGAACGATGGTTTAGATTGATATTTGCTTTATCATAGCATGAAATTATACTATACTGTATTCTCCGCAATTGTGTGGTTGTATAAGAAATCAGTAGCCATCTTTATGATTTTTCCAGAGGTAAATCCTCACTTTTCTTATTACTGATTTCTTAAATTATGCATTTGAAATCAATGTTAAGTCTGGCACTTCTACTTGTGAACTCATCTTTATTGAACCTAGGATTAGGTCGAGCGTTATACGCTCTACCTAGATCGAGCGCTAAGCTTCCAAATGTATTGTCTAGTCAACTCATCCCGGTATTATTTAGTTGTCTTTTTGACCAAACAATACTTCTTAGCCAGCACTGAAATTGTCGTAAGAGTTATGCTAAGCCAATCACTGATGCTTTCCAAACCATCTCTCTTTTCCATTTCACCTTTGTTTCCATGTTCCTCAAAAGTATTTCCAATAGAAATCACTAATCTTCTAACGGCCTCTCTTGTAAGCAAAAATGTGTAAATGAATGGAATTCTTCTATCAGAAAATTAATATGTAGTAAAGAAACGGAAAAAAAGACTAAGATGTTTGGTTACGAAGATTGTTATGTGAGGACCGATTGTCTGAACTTGATGCAATGACATTAGGGATGGAGGGTGATGAGAAATTTTCTTGTATGTGTACAATTATGTCAGTTGATTTTGTTAATTGGTACTTACAAGCATAGTATTTGTGCTTTTAAAGCTTAGTGTCTGATTCTTATTTTGTTTTTTGAAATCTGGCTTTGCAGGCTTATGATCAACATTTAAATATGATTCTTGGTGATGTTGAAGAAGTTGTTACTTCTATAGAAATTGATGATGAAACTTATGAAGAGATTGTCCGGGTATGTTACTCAATTCTTTTGTCTTTGATCACTTTTTTTATTTTCAAAAATGGTAAATTTATATTCCAGTCATTTTTAACGTGTAATATTGTTTTCTTGGAGGACTAAATTGCATAAATAACAAAAATGATGCATAAATTTAAACCATGGCATAGAACTGCATTAAGGACTGTACGATCAGATGGTTCCAGAGGCAATCAAAACCCCCAAAACATAATTAACGAAGAAAAAGACAAAAGGATGATAAATATATGGTTGGATTTTCATGACCTATATTGAGCTGCATTTGGCTTTAATATAGATCCTTACTTGTTTGGTCTTGTATGTTTTGGCTGTTGTTACTAGCTTGCCCTTGTATTAGATTTTTAGGTGATGACTTCTTTTTCATTCTTCTATCGCAGACTACAAAGCGGAATGTTCCTTTTCTCTTTGTTAGAGGAGACGGTGTCATCCTTGTTTCACCTCCTCTGAGGACAGCTTGATGTAGATACGTTTGCTGGGAAATCAATTGTTGTGACGTTTAACTGATCTCTCTCAATGTTATTCTACTATTAGATTTTTGAATGCATGGAGATTTCTTGAATCCCAGCTATCTAGGATCAGATTTTCAGCTGTACTTTGAGGTAGCCATAAAGAGTTTGGAGTTTGATGAATCTCAGTCTGATGATTTCTTACTGTTATTGTTTTCTTCTTGTTATCTTTACTTAAACAGTCCCAGGATAGTAATTAGGAATTAGTTATGGGGGCCCACCCATATTCTCTAAAAAAATTCTGCATCCAGTTCTGTGACCACAGGCAACAATGTTCACGAGTATGGATAGAAATCTTGACGTTATATCCTCCTAGGGAATTGACTAGTTAGGGTCTAAAATTTTCCCATGAAATAATGTAGTCTCCAATAGTTTGCAATACTGCTGCGTTTTTTTCTCTTCTCATACCTTTAAGCTTTATTTTTATCTTTATTTATTTATGTTTTTCATTATCCTTTAACCCTTTTGTTTTTGTGAGTTTCGATTTTTCGAGTTCATTTTTTTAATTTGAGAAAATAAGGAAAGAAACTAGATTATAAAAATTGAATGAGGCAGGATTCTAATTACAGCAACAGAGAGAGGATTAGAGTTAGAATTTTCTCTTATCAAGTTCTATTTTTCCATTTAATATATAAATTAAATTAAATCTAGGGAGTCTCACTAAAACACCCAAAATGGGGGCTGAAATTATAAAAAAACTCAACACCCAAAACACTTTATAAACACACTCAAAAACCCATCATTACACACACTCAAAACCCATTTATAAACACACCCAAAAAATATACAATTGTTGATTTTAGGTGTGTTTCTATGTTTAAATAGTATTTAGATTTTTTTATAAATACATGTCTAGGATTGGGTTTATTTATAAATTTGTATTAAATCTAATGATGCTATTTTATGATTTATAAAACTTGAGCCAAAAAACGTTATGAGGCTATAATTCAAAACATAAGAATATAACCTTGTTAGAGTTGTACACGTCAATAAATTATTGTACGCTCTCTTTACAGCTTGATTTAATAGATGGAAGTTCAGATAGCTGAACAATTATGTAATTACTGTAACGGAATTAGAATTATAAGTTCATTACTTCTTCCCTTCTGCGGCATAGAGTGTCTTGATTTCCTCAACATCATCATAGCTGCCAAGGAAGATTGGAGAGCGCTCATGGATCTTGTTTGGAACTAGGTCAAGGGCCTGCCAAGATGCATGTTAATATACCCCCAATTGAGTCTCAAAAGTTCAACTAGCAAGAACTTAATCTTATCAAATAAAATTTGTCGAATTTCAAGCAACGTTAAATGTTCTCTTGTCATACCCGTTTGCATGTTAAGTTGCTAGATTATCAATTTCAACAATTAACCAATTGTTCAAATAGCAAAACAACATAGCATCCCAGATTGCCGGACAAGAGAACATTACCCTTTTTAGTAATTTCCAATTTCGTTTGACTACTTCCCTAGTAAATGAAATTTCTTCGAAATTTTGCAGTTACGAGAATGCCTGTGTGTATTGTACAGAGTATGCTCTGTTCCTACAAAGCTTCATGGCAGGGTAGAGAATAGCTCTGGCATATCTTGCATGATAAGCTTTGCATACAGAAAACTAGCTAGTTATTTCACCAATTTCAATTAGCACAATAACGAATAAGAAATGTTACCCGTTCCTTGCCAGTGAATGACTGACCGCCTGCTTGTTCCATCAAGAAAGACATGGGGAAGACTTCGTAGAGAACACTAGTTGAGATAGGTTAAAACAAACTGAGTCACTAAATTCCTTAAACTTCAATCTGAAAATAGACTGTTAAGCGGATAATTATAGCTATAATCGCGCTTAACGTACCGCAGTTTCCCATTTGGGCTCTTCTTGTCAGCAGGATACAAAAAGATACCTCCATAAAGCAGTGTCCGATGAACATCAGCAACCATGCTGTTAAACATGATAAAATCATAACTTATATAACTTCTTATTGAAAGAAACAGAACGGCATCAGATGTTGAACACAAACACGAAAAGAGAAACTAAAATTATGAAGAAAGAAAGCTAAAAATCATTGACCTACAAATAAACTTTTAGTTCACCACCAATTTCGGATTGGGATTGAAAGACCAAATCAAACAATTCAAACACCTGAAATTCATTGACTGCTAAGTTGAGAATATAGGATACCTTCCAATGTATCTTAGAGACTTTGGTGATGAACCATCTTTCGGGTATTTGCACTTTTCCACATACCTGGAAATCAAATGGGTCAGACATCTCCAATGATGGTTTTAGAAATAAGAAATTATAAATTGAGCTTAGCATACTTGGCCGTCGGACCATCCCAATTTTTGGCATTCCCTTCATTCACTGAATAGATTTTCCTTTCTTTGGAATCTGGGCAAAGAAGTAGACATAACCTGAATGTTAGAGGCTCCAAAACAAAGGGAAAAGAATGCCAATCTCAAAGATAACATATGTCCCTTGGTACATTCTCAACAGAATACAGTAAGGATTATGCTGGTTGAGGAATATAAAAAGAGATATACCTGGATGTCTGGGTGAGTTAGTATGAACTCCCCAAGAGATGGATCCAGAGTGAACCCATGAACTCCAGTTCCAGTGCTCAACACAAACTGTAAAATCATTACATTCCCAAATAATTAAAGCACTGTCTTGCAAATCTAGACTGCAGGCAAAGAAAATCCTAGATCCTACCATCAAAAGAAAGATTCAAATAAAGACTGCCATTTAGTCAGGCACACTACTCAGAGGAATCCGATAAAGTAACGAAATAAGAAATTTTACTTTAATGAAACGGAATAGCCAGTAATTGGGAAACCAGGAAAGGGGCTGGGTTTACTAAACAAAATGTATGCATCTGAATTAGAAGAAAGGTGATGTTTCATATACCGTGCAAGAGCTTCCATACATGCAGTAGCCTGCTGCAACCATATTCTTTCCAGGTTGCAAGACATCGTGCAGAGTAGGTTCAATGCCATCTTTTACCACATAAATCCCAAAAATCTAGATGAAAGAGAAGACAAATGGTTCCCACCACAATATTGAGTTATTCTGGAACAAATAATTGCTTTGCGAACATACGTCAGCACAGACTTTCAATGCTAACAACATAAAAGATATCATACTTCAGACCGAAGGATCATACCGTTCCAATGGAAACACCACAATCAATGTTAGACGAACCATCCAGTGGATCAAATACAACACAGTACCTGCCTCCAGTATAAGTTTAGAGAATTATTTACACATAGAACCTATAGTTAAAAGTCTCATAAAAAAGAAATTGGAAAAAAACAAAACAAAACAAAACAAAATTTCCATTGCAACAAGCTCAAATAACCAGCATAAAGCATAGTCAATTACTTTCCACGCTTGGATGGCTCCACAAATATGGCCTCTTCATCTTCCTCCGAAACAAGGATAGACTGCCATAAAACCCAAATCGTTAGCAGAAATGAAGTCTTTCAAAATTCAGTTTAACTGTAAGAGGAAATGTGATAGCTTACAGTTCTGCCACTGCTAACCAGGGCCTTAACAAAAACTTCATTTGAAAGCACATCCAGTTTCTTTTGCTCTTCACCCTTTAACCAAAACAGCAAATCAAACTCACATAAAGAATAACCCAACAGAAAATATTTAATGTAAACAGATATCACTTTACACCCACTAAGCATCAAACACTTGCCTGAACGTTGGTCTCTCCAGCAAGCCCAATAAGTTTAGCCAGACCCGCCTGCACAAGTAAAAAATTTCATGTAAAAAACCCATTTCACATCACAGCACTAAAAACAGAGAAAGCCTTGCATTCAAACCTATAATTGCCAAATTAACATTAAAAAAACCTTCATTTCCATGACAAAATCAAATAAAAAACAAAACCCAGGTTGCCATTCGATATAATTTTACAGAAAAAAACAACCAATATGTATCTGTGTAAGAAGAAAATGATACAGAGAGAGAGAGAGAGAGAGAGAGAGAGAGAGAGAGAGAGAGAGACCTTGTTGACAGCAGAGCAGACAAACTTGCAGCCAAGAACAATATGATTGAGCAAGATGGTGAAGTCTCCGCGAGACTCAGGGTGCTTGGACTGCTCATTCAGCACGAACCTCGTTATGGTCATCAAATCCGTACGGTGAGCATCGGCTGCGTGATCCATTTTCGCCTATTTTTCTCTCTCTCTCTCCACAACCCACCACCACTGTCACTAAAAACTTCAGAAACCAAAAGCACAAAAGAACTCACCAATGGCCAAATAAATAAATATATATTTATCCCCCAAAAAAACATTTACAGAAAAATAAATAAATAAATAGTCGTTTTCATTTTATTTTATTTTTGGGTCAAAATAGTCGTTTAGATTTGGATTAGATGGTGGTGGTGGTACTCGATTCGAGGTGTTAATGGATTGGGAAGGGAGGGGACTAATCTGGTACTAATGGAAGTTTCGGAGGACACGTGGAGGGCCTGGGATGGGGCAGTGAGCTCTGAGGCCGTCACTAAAGATAACGCCTCTCGTCGTTTTCTCCCTGATTCGGCGGTTATCAGGTTTTTGTCTTGTCTCGGAGATGGAGGATGAAGTGGACGAGGTTCGGTTGTGTGGATTTCAAGCAAACTTTTTGAAGTTTTATAGCAAGTGCCTTGTTGCATAAAGGTTCTTTTCTTTTATGGTATTTGGTTTTTTGACCCTGAAATTTGATTGAATTACTCAAAATAACCTTGCTATTTTGATTTCTCACGTCATATTTTTCTTACAAAAACTGGCTCTGCATGTCATCAAAAGTGAGTAAGTGTAAAGTACGTAACTTTTCAAAATGACATTTAAAAAGTGAATATGGAGTGGCATGATGAAGAGACCATTCAAAAGTGAATCACGTGTTGAACACGAGATTTTATTTTACAACATCTTAGATGAAACTGCTAAAAATTTTTGGAGTAGATTTACCAATTTTGTATAGTTCAAGAGGGGGACTGCTCTGAAATATGAGTGAGAGTTTAGGAAAACAACCAATAGCTCGATCTCCACCAAATAAAAATGTGGGAGCTTTGCTGTGAGCCAAATAAGAATGTTTCATACCAAATGGGAAGCGATGACAAAAATAATATTTAATTTTAAAGTCAAATGCCACTTTTCTCTAAACTATATTGACATTGTCAATTTATTGCGAAACTTCTTTTCTTTTTTGAAGGAAAACTCCACATCAATTTGATATTACATAAATTAAGTACAAAATAATTGGGATTTTCATTTTTGTCAAATAAAATAATTGGGATTTTCTTTTGGTCAGATGAAATAATTGGGATTCAATAACACCTTGAAGCCATGCCAAAGAAAGAAGGAAGTTGAGCTAAAAAAAAGTAGAGAGAACGGGCTATGCACAAGATGAGGGGTTCTTTGATAGATGTCCAAACAATTGTAGCACATTGCAAGTTAAAAGGTTCTCTCTCCCAACAAGTGTCATTTTCTTACACTTTCATCCTAACAATGTGTCAAAACTTGGGAAATGAGATATCTGTTAGCAAATGGAAAATTCAAGAAATTCCTCAAGGATTTTTTGGTCAACACAAGATTAAGGCTTGTATGTAGCACAATAAATCGCAGATTGATTCAAGTAGTAGTTATATATGGGGTGCCAAGTGGATTGTTTCCATCCTCTCCCCATGAAATATGGGCATTGTTTGAAAATTGTATGTTGAATTTGAAGCCTCCAAATCTTGTTCAATGATTTCTAGTAACCTTAATTTCTGCTGCATTCATGCATTTAACTATGAAAATGTCTGTAGATTCTGGTCGGCTTGGTTAAAATGTTCTCCTTAGTTTCAACTAATAACTAATTGGTGTGCTAATGGGGTTTAGCTGCGGTGGTTTGGCAGCATCTTTCCCCCATCCCCCCTTCCAACTGGCACCCGGGTTCGAAACCCCGCTATGTAACCAAAAAAATAACTAATTGGTGAAAGTTCAAAATTCTTATAATTGGGGTTCAAATAAGTAGATACCTCCACAAAATCCACTGGAAAAAATTATAATAGCTAATACCTCATCAAAAAAGCATATAGCTTTTAACACTGTTATAAGGTTCAAGAGAAGGAATACATATATAACATATCAAGACAATGGAAAACTTCCTACTGTAACAACAGTAATTCAGGAAGAATCATTACAACAATTTCGCCAAGACAAACTTGATGTTTGTTTATTGAAGACCTTCCCAATAACTGATAACTCTACCCAAGAAGGATAATTATGAATTAATTTTACAATTCGGATTGACAATAAACTTCACAAGAGTTTTTCCCCCTCCGAAAACATGTTGACAAATCAAAATCGAATTGATTGTTGAAGCTGCGGCATGCACATAGAGAATGCCATTGGCACTGCCCGCGTATTTGAGACTGAAGAAAACATTAGACGAACCCTCTCCATATCTTGATGGTGGCACTCCAAACCACACAAGCTCATCACTCTAGCTTTCTTAAATAATGAGCTCTGCGTGCTTCCAACAATAAAAGTACAACAAACTGTCCCCAAATAAGATTGGCAAACATTTCAGACTATACTAGGCGGGTACCCTATCCAATTGCAGACAGCACGGGGCCAGCGCGTTCTTATGCAGTCCACCAGAGGTGCATGCTGAGAAGGCTCTGGCTTGGCACTTTCTGTGACTTTCCCTCCAGATTCATTACCACCAGAACCAGAGGACACCGCCACATCTGTCATATATTCTTCAGGAGTCCATCTTGGAGGAACCGACACCCTCAATTTTGTGAGCCTAGGTCTTTGAACTGGAGTCTCGCCTCCAGAGCTTACCTGGCTTCCATTCAGATCTGATTTTGCAATTCCATTAAAATGGTAAAGATCAAACACCTTCTTACCCATCAATCCAGTTGAATCCTTCAGCCCTCCTAAGCTCTTGTCCAAATCCAAAATGACCTGCCAGAACTCGCTCCATACGATAAATCCTGTGCTGCATAGGAGGTCAACCTTCTCAGTTGGAAGTTCTACATTAGTTTCTTTAAGGACTTGATGAAAGCCTTCCACACTAATAAAACCACCACCTCCACTCTGATCTTGTGCATCAAAAGCTTTTCGAATCTGTGATTCCCTTCCTTCCAGTTCATTCTCATCTTGAACAGTGGTATCAAGGGAAAAAAGGACTGTATAATGAGACTCACTTCCAACTACCCATATTGGCCATTTTGGGCATTTCAGATACTGGCCAACCTTACAGAAATTTAGGGATTCTAACAGAGTGAGGAATCCAACTTCCACAGGTCTGGATACACCCTTTAAAGACATGCCACCACCTAAATCCATCTTTCCATCGAAAACGTTGGGCACTGCCTGCCCGCAGAGCAGCAAGTTCACAATTTCCTGTCCCATAAATACAAAGGTAAAACAATGCACAAAATTCAAAAAAAGAGCTGCAAATGGATCAACAACTGAAGCACTGGGTCCAAAGTGGAAATTCATTAATATAGAATTGTACCTGTGAAGCATGCCCAAAAGGAGCAGTGACAAGAGGTAGGCTCGGATCATCCCTGTCAGCTTGAACTAAGTCCTGCAAAAGAGAAAGTTTAACAAAGAAATAATATGACTGTTTCTGAAGTGTACAGTTTTCAAGAGAGATTTTAAGCTAACAAGCATACCAGTCCTCGAGAAAGTAAAGCAGAAATAAGGAACAGCAATGCCCCCATACGACTTTGGAAAACAGGAATCACAGCTTGAAGCCTTTTAAATGCACTTTCTCGTGTTGTGTATGTGTTAACTCTTAGCACCTTATGCAAATCAGCAGCTGATTCAATTGAAAGACCCTCAAGTGATTTTGTTATTACCTGTGGAATGAGATTTATATTCGTCAGCAGGAAACATAAAGGTTCAAAATTCAATTCAACCCAGAAATTCAAATAAATGCTGTGCAAGTGCAACATACATTATTCCTATCAGAAAACAGAGCATTATCCACTAGCTTCAGTTCACTTACTTCATCATCCAGATTGTCTTTAGACCTCTCAGTGTCATCTCCAATAACACTCAAAGTTGCAATCACAGCCCTTTTATTACTTCCGCATAAGAACAATATTTCACCCATACTTCTAATCAGTGCTCTGTCAAAAAGATCATATGTTGATTTCAACAAGTATCCCAATGAGTAAAAAAACTTTAATCAATCGTCAAAAACAATAATCAAATTACCAAAATAAATCAACATCGTTGGTTCCAGACTATAATCAGAGTCAGATATGTAAATAGCACAGAAGATATCATTACCATGTTTACACACTGGTTTCTTTTTCCTCTTTATAAGATACCATCTTAGACTGATTTGGGACCAACGAAATTAATTAGAATGAGTATATTGTTAAAACAAGAAAAACAAAAACAAAAAACAAAAAAGGAGTACAAAGAAGGATGGAGAAGTGGTCCATCAGGAACACCAAAAGCCTCACAGAACTAAACTAGTTAAAAAATTATCAGAACCATTAACCCACAAAATCAGCCCAATACAGAACGATTAAACTGAAAGGAGCATCCTTAAAATGCCTAGATACTAGACGGTGAAGCCCAAACAGAAGTAAAAAATCTATCCCAGAATAAAGACACCGCTTGTTCTATATGTAAGGTTTTTGTGACTGCGTGGAAAGTGGGAACTGAATGAAAACCATGACTATAGGCATATGATAAAGCACAAAACGTCAATTTTAGCTGAAGCGGGGTCATCACAGATGTGAAGGTATTGGTATAAATGAAGGTTCTACAAAGACTTTTTGCCAGATTTAAGAGAAAATAATAATCATATAAGCAGGAAGCCTTGCACATAAAAGAGTATATTGTGTCTAAGCGTAAAACAAAGTTCAAAAAGTTATAGATGATTTCTGGAGACAACATACAAGGAGAAGATAAATACTACAAAACTTTGACATATAAGGGTAAAACAGTTATGAAAAGTTAAGACTTTATAATTGTGCAGGTTAAAATGATGATAGTGGGACAAAAACAACTAAAAAAGAATTCTGCACATCCTCCAAAAAAAAATTCCATACTCAAAATTTCGGTAATAACCAGAAGTTAAACAGCATTAGGACAGTAAAATTAGTGTAAAGTTACAAAGGACGACACCAGTTTGCAGTGTGTAAACACGCAACTAAACAATTGGCTACAGAAATGAGTAAACCAGAAAGGATGTACAGGATCATATGCTTTAACCAGATTTCTATGATTCTCCCTAGATTGGACTATGAAACAGTAAAAGTCCAAAATGAATAACATAATGCATAGGCATCATCAAGTAAAACCACAGATGTATAATTTACCATGCAATGATTAATCACCTTGCTTTTGCATCTTCAGTAAGAGAGGCAAAATTATTCGATGCAACACACGGACTATTAGACAGTGTCCCTGAACCCATATTGTGATGCATGTTTGGTACAACTTTACCTAATTCAGCTGGGCAGAAAAGGAGGTATTTGAGAACAAATGCCTGCACAACCAAACAGAAAATACTGTAACCAATGTAAATATATTGTCATGACATGCATGTACAAGTCAATAGCAGTTTTTAACACAACACCAAGAAATATAAAACAGTAACATCAACAACAACAACAACAACAACAACAACAACAATAATAATAAAACAGAGTGAAGAAAAGATAAAAAAAACCTAGGGGTGGAAGCAAACAAATGTATCTCATTACAGCAACAAAAACTAACATATGATGATAGCAATCCCACGATAAATAGTACTACATCAAAGACATCACGAAAAAAAAACTCAGTCTTATGTGAAACATATATACTAGAAAGAAAGGACGATGAAAGGCACAATACAATCTTTTTCTCTCCTCCCATCGTAATTTCATCCGCATCATTAAAATTGAAGAGACAAAAATCTTACTTACAATATAGCGAGAATTTTTTTTTAAATTCAACAAGTGAAATACCACCTTATTTTTTTAGAAGCCTCCTGAGAAACAATAAAGGGCGTCATTACCCAATTTTGCTTGAGGTATTTGGACCACTTCAAAGTCTACACTAGCCCATTCACATCAATTTGGGGTTTAAAAATGTATTTTTGTATTAGAAACTCTTTAGTGTTCTTTTCATCATTAAGGCTACACCTATGTGGTCTACAGGTAGGTCTGGTAATGCTAGGACCATCTGATTTTCACAGGGAGCTAAGCCAGTGAAACCCATCTGAGTTCAGACATAGAATGCTTCACTTTTTGTAATTATGATATAAATTTTGAACTATTTATAATTTAGAAAACAGTAATTATGTTGATTACAAAGAAATTCTATTTTTACATTCTAATTCAATTGACATGCCACTTACAAACTTATCAGATATCGAAGATAAGACAAAGCACTTTAAGCTTGATTTGGCGTTCGGGCAACACCGCCCTAAAATAGGGTCGTGCTATTGGTGGTATCACCTTTCTATTAGGCCTTGCACACACAATTGGAGACCTGTTAATCGACCACAATTCACCAATACCATAAATTAAAGAGATGCTAAATGGTCAAAAGTGAAATGGACATCCTTATACATTGGATGTATTGTTTCTCTTTTCATATAAATGATGCATCAGACGTGTCAATCTACAATTTGCTATAGGACGCAGAGTAACAGATAATTATTTGTAAATTTAAAGAAAAGGGAAACCATATTGAATGCCATGACTTGTTTCGCCAGGCTTTATAATCTATAAACGCCAACCAATTTAAATAATTAAATGAGTTACAACCAATGAACAATGCTTATTCAATGGTTGAACCAGATCATATTATCACTCCATGTGTTTACCAATGTACTACATGTTTAAAACCAATATTTTTGACTCGGCCCCTCACAGCCAACGTATAATTCTGTACCAATAGACGAAAAAATACCAATTTATTGTGTGAGTTAGTCATGTCAAAGTAAGGCCTTCAATTATTCCATAAAATGAAGAAAATAATTATTAAGTGTTCTATAAAACAAATCGGGTTAAATTGGAAAATAAAAAATAATTAACAAACAACAATTCTTATTTTTTATCCCACTACTCCACCTTTATATAACTCCCATCATTTCCCCAATCTTACTCTCATCTTCCCTCTCCCTTATCCCACAACTCCTACTTTATCTCCCCCATCACTAGTAATTAAGAGGCCAAAAAAATCAACCTATTTTTAAACTATAAACTTAAAAAAGCTTCTGTTAATAGAAACAAACTGACTTCCAAAATTATCAGAATAAAATGAACCAATATATCAGAAAAGGGAACATTAACTAAAATCAGATCCTCGTGCACCAGTAACTGTGTGCAAAGAACGAAAAGAATTTTATACAACACATGAGTCCAGACTCCACAGAGTTCAAATTTTGTAACCAGAATTTCATTCTCAAATCAGCATCATTAAACTCCAAAATCTAACCATGGCAAATAGTATGGGACACTCAAAACACATGTTGAGAAATCAGGAAGTTACTTGAATTGCTGCTAAAACGCCACAGGGCCCACCTTCATGCTGCACTAGACCCATAGATGTTTCTGGATCAGGGCTAAACCTATAGAGAAAATAAATTATATTGGCTAACCAAGGGCAAGTACATGAAACAACCACAATTCATATTTCAAATATTACACACAGAGTAAAGAATAGAAACCATATAAAGGATATGATGAAATTCAAAGTGAGAAGCGAGTTCAAGAAACTTGTTAACGATGGAGGCAATATTTTTAATGAAGCAGCAGTTTCAAGAAGTGATTTCAATATTTCCATAACTGATGTCTTACAGCTGCAGTTCCAATACCAGAAAAATTATGGCGCTATAACAGGATGATGCATAAAGAAACAGAAATTTTGAGTAGAGAAGCATAAAACTACGACGAACAGAACTTGCACGTCGATTCAAAGTAAACTTAAATTGAATTGTCTTTAGATCAATATATTATATCCTAAACCAGTGGCAACACCATATGTAGCAAAATAAGAGCATGACCAGATATGAAGGCAACATATAGGCCATAAGTACAAATTGAGTGTTATACACACCTTATACCCTGATTACTCCACTGTGCAAGAATGCCCTTTGTAACCTCAGCACCAAACACCATCGAAAACAACTGCTTCGCATCCTCTTCGCTCAAACCTTTTCCCAAATTCACTTCCTCCAAGCTCAATTCCTTATCTTTCCTCACGACCTTTGCCGCCAAAGCAGAACCCGAGGAGCCCGCAGACCCCGAGACCGAGCTAGGTGAAGGCGAGGCCTTTTTGGCATCCAGCATTCTCTTCTCGGCTGCAGTAGCCATGAGCTCTCGCTGAAGTCTCCGGGTCTTCACTTCCGACGACTCGTCAGGCAACCCTGTGGGAGCTCCTGCAGGGCCGTCCCTGGGTTTGCTGCGCTTGGGCTCCGGAGGCGAATTCTGCATACTCATCCGTAGTGCCGTTCGCAGGTCCTCCTCCTCGTGATCCGCCATTGGGACCTTTTAGATCCAAACCTCGAGAATTAGGGTTCCGATTACGATTCGTAAACTAATTTTGAGATTGTGAAGAAGAATGAAATCGGAAATGGAATTCAAAACCCTCGATTGGAGGGTTAAACGTTAAAAAAAGTTAAAAACGGAAGTGAAAATAATGAGACAAACAAATTCCAGGCTGCCCCAATACGATGCCAAACGGGTCGTTTAAGGGAACCCACCGTGGGTCCATTTTGTAGGCATTTTAGTCCCTAAAATGACTATCATGCTCTTACAGTTTCTTTTACCAAGGAGAATGAGAGGAGTAATTGGGAGATAAGATAAGGGTATTTTGGCCAATTCGAGACTGCCGACTAAATAAAAGGTTAGATCAAATAAAAGTGGCCGGTGATACTTTCCTTTCATAGGAGCAAAGCCGTTTCCGGTTGGAAGAGAATAAAGCAAGGATGACTCTATTGCAACTCGATACTATTCCAGCAACAACAAAACTCGATATTAGTATTAAGATAAATATATATTTTCACATTCGATGTCCTAGCATTATAATCGTGCAGACGCTATTATAAACAAAAAAGAATAATAGAAAATACATTATATATGGCATCTGCTCTAACCAATTTGGCGAAACCCATATCTACATTGTAACTCAATTTTACTATAAGTTTTTTTTTAATACACACAATTTTATTATAAGAGCATCTCCAACTGATATGTCAAAAGTGCCACATAAACATTTAACGGCTAGAAATAACATCTCACATCACTTCAATCGAATTGTCAAAACTGATGTGAAATGAAGGTCGGAGGTTCAACCATTACTTTTGACATCCCAAAAGCAATATGTCAAATGAATATTTCATTATTTTTTAAAGACAGCTAGCTGTTACTTTCATTTATTTTTTTCCTTTTTTATTTTTTTCTTCTTTATCTTAAATGATTTGACTGTTACAATAATTATTTATTTAATATATCGAGTGGAGTGTAAAACTGTGTAAATATCAAATTGTCACATCAGCCATCAAATTTAAATTTGATGTTTGGTATTTGACATCTCCCTTGGAGATGCTCTAAGTTAATTCAACATTCTATTGAATTTTATATTTTCGTTTTCACCTTGGCATAAAATTGGTAATAAAGAACACTAACAGGGTCTAGCCAGTGAACATAATTCAAAGTTATTTTCTTCTCACACTTCATGATAAGTTGGTGAAAATAAAATGATGATTTAATGACAAATGGAGGCTTAGATCATGGTTCAAGTCTTCACCGAACGTACTCACCAAAATTCAATCAACTAGGATAGAACTCACGATTCTCTTGTTCTATGTTATATCAAAATTCAGAGAAACAATGAGATCAAAACTTAAGCAGTTGCTCAAGTTTATGTTATATCATATGGGTGGGTCACACTTTTAAGATTGGTCTCACTAATTCAAACAACAACAAAAAGAAACAATAAATTAAGCATATGCTTGATAGGAAAATAATAAATTAAACACGTGCGTGATACATGAGTGATTAAAGAAAAGTTATATAACTATTTTCTAAATCTAAAAACGATTATAAAATAGACAGAGTAATGAGAGTACCACTGAATATTAGAGTGGAATTGTGTTTCTTCTGGAAGTATTACAATGAAATTTGTTTCTCTCCAATTTCTCTTCTCATTGAAACTTTCTAACTCTTTCTAACTTTCTCTTAGTTTCTGATTGGTGTATTTTTCCTTTTTACTGAGACCCCTTTTTATAGGCGGAAGCCTACACTTATCTCGTAGGCTATACACAAGTCTTCACCTTCCATTTACTTCTTTCCTTTCACCACTTACTTGTGTGATCCACACCATTTACAATAAAAACTTATGCATTGCATTATTATTGTGTACCTAAACACTCTCTGAGAAAACCCTAAGGAAAAATCCTAGTCACCCCTTTGGAGGCCGGCAACCTCCCTCCTACCCGCCTCCTCTATCTTCTCCTCATCCCCTCTCCTCTCTTTCCTCCCAACCCCCCCAAAAAAAAAGAAATTCTTTCCCTTAATAATTCTTCTTTGTTCTTTTGTTTTTTGATGTGGAAGCAAGCATTGTGAAACTTTGCCATCGCCATGAAAAAGTCTTCATCCTTTGGTCCATGTACACAAAGAAGATGTCGAGTTGAGTTAAATTTGGGTTTAGATGGTGCAGCACTATGGGTTTAGCCAGTATGGCGCGCTGGCTTTCTTCCAAGAAGATGAAGGTATGGCACGATGGCTTTCTTTCAGGAAAATGTGGAGTGGTGGTCCTACTTCTTAATTTGTGTAAGATTAATAATTCTCAAGAACTCTTTAAGAGTTGTTGTGGTTTGTTTTATATTTAGGTTGTTTTATTTGTATTTAGCTTGGGCTTTCGATACAGATTTTCTATTTTTGTGGTTGCGATGTGGGTGTTGTGAAGGTTTTGTAGCTTTAACAAGTTTTTCCATAAATGGTCTTCATGGGGCACCGCTTTTCTTACATCTTCAATGACGTTCTCTTCCACTTTCGATGCAATCGTGTACTTCAATGGACCTGCATTAAATACAAAGTCTTGTTAGCTTCAACATTTTTCAAGAAATGGTAGTCGGCAACACAAGTATGCATGCAATAAGGGTAAGAGTATCATGCCGAAGGATTTAATTAACCATCTAGAGATTGAAAACTGGTGGGAACTCGTTGTTCCACTTCTCTCCCTGTAACCCCCTCCTAATTATCATACTCAAAACATCATCGTTTCCTCCATGACTTCTGAGAGGAAGACATCCGGTCAATGAAGTAACCTCGATCCTTTGTACAATTTGATTGAACTCAAGCCAGGTCAACCTTCTACCTTGTAATAGAATAGAGATATACAAATTGCTCAAACGATGGTTCTCCATTTCTTGCAAGTTTGAAGGCTATATAAACTCTATATAGCATAATCCAGAAATTCAGATTATATTGTCCTGGTGCATACCCCAAAAATCATATAAACCCAGGGATGGAACAGTAGCCTCAAACCCTGCTGAAAAGTATCAAGGAAAATTAGTTTATGCCCATCAAGAGGGTATCTCGGTGTTTCCTCTAGTTGTGGTAGCCTTAGACTTATTGAAGGTAGGATGCTGTATTTCACCCTGAATGCTTCCAAAGTGGACTTCGTCATTTTGTTCTTCTAGAACAGATCTACTCCTCAGGCTTTCCCATTTGGTGCCACAAAGGGTATCTCACTGCTTGCTGAAGGCAATGTCATTACTACATTTACTTGATCGGATGTGAAGGCCCCTGCTTGATTACTTGACCCATGTTTAGAAGTTTAAAGGTTTGCCACTATCCATACAGCCAATGCTGCAGCCTTGGCAAATTCTGCAATCATGGCTTCATGATTTGAGATACCCGGCTTGTAAACCACGTATCCTTCTCGTATAGGTGATCTTGGGCGTATCCTTACCCTATAGCTAGGTAATCCCTGAGGGAGGACCTGCCCACTTATAATAGTATTAGAACCGGGGTGAACTGGGGTTGATCCCAGTTGAACCCTCTCCAATAGTGAAGTCAGAAACTAATTTAGGCTTGGGGAGAATGGATGTAAGTTTTACGCAAGATGGATCTTTTTTAGGTTAAGAACTTATTACCTTTTTCTAGAGATAGGTGATGGGTATTTATAAAAGGAAGAAGGAGAGACCAAGATCTTTATGGGAGAGATCTTTTCCCCCTATCCTCCTAGCCTGAATCACATGTAATGCTTTGTCCTTAATGACCATATTGCTGGACAAGGGTCAAGTGGTGAAGCAACAGGCAACCAAGGATGGGAGGTGCATTAAATGATCCCTCTCTATCACTAGCCAGTTCATTTGGAGGTCAATGGTCAGGGCGACACGTGGTTGGGGATGAGATGTGCATTTAATTAACCCTTCTTGCTCGCCAGACTGTCTATCTCAAGGGCGAAGTGATGGACCTAACAAGAATCTAATCGAGTCTACTAGTCCGTAACACACCTCTAGTTGGAATGTTCGGCCCAATGTTCGGGTAAGTATATGATTACCCGAGCACTGGCCCACTTTTTGAGTTCGCTGCATTCGGACCAGGAAGATTGGCGACGGCACCCCCTGAATTGTATATAATCGGGTTGGTATCCAGGTGACCTAGTCCGCTCCGGCCACGTGGCGTTTCAAAATAGGCTCGGCTTGTAGTGATGGTATGAGCTATCAACACGGCTCATCGGCATCTTGACACACCATCCCCTCTTTAACTTTACATTATCCTCATTGTTTCATTTCTAGACGGGGGGTAATCATGTTTGGGATAATGTTGGAAGCTTTTTAATACTCTTGCCGCAGATGTAAACCTTACTATTCGCTATTAATAAAATTTTCCAACGATTCGACCAAAAAAGAAGAAGAAGGATTTCATAAATATTTTTGAATATGTGGGGTTAATTAGATAAATTAAATGTCGAAATGGTCCCTATGTTTTGCCTTATCGGCCAATTTAGTCCATGTGTTATGAATTTAACTAGTTTAGTCCTTGTGTTTGTATCTGTTAACAAATTTGATCCTTTCAGTTCCAATAGGTAGATAATATAATAAACATCTGCCTATTATTGGTTGAATTTGGTTAATTCGAAGTTCCTTTACAAGAGAGAAGTTGATTACTTTACAACTATGATATATGGTTTATGGTGTGTTCATATGTATGCAATTGATAACTGAATGTTATAAATGAATTTTGTTTTTACTGATAGTTAACTGATCTTGCTACATTCTAGAAGTCTATAAATGAATGAACTCTTTGTGTTTCTAGCAATAGTTGCAAAAATCCCATATTAAGATTCATGTTTAACAAAGGAAAAACTCGAATAGAAGAACCCTAGATTGAGATTCATATTTGTTCCAGTAGTTCTGAAATAAAAAATAGGGCTAACGACTAAAGACCCCTTCAAGATTTGGAGTCATTCTAAATATGGGACATGGAGTATCAATTTCATCAATTTACACCCCAATGTTTTCAAATTT